GAGGAAGATGAAAACTGAACAAGAATCGACAACTCGACCCTCTGCTCACTCCTTTCCTGTAAAATACAGGTCCAGCCCACACATATGCTCCATGGTGCTACAGGCATTGCCCTTACAACTACAATAAGCATGTCATCCCCTACTGTATCGTCACCTTGGATACGAGTCAAAACAACTCACAGACACACAGGCCAGGGCGCTGAAAGGGCGCCCTTTGAGCATCAGATCTGACGACGCTGATTGGCTGAAATTATGTTTCGGCGGCATAGTTTACAAATAGCGACAGTCAGCTTGTTGGCTGCTGCTGTTCTGGCTGAGGGCTCCTTTCTACCGCCCGGACGAGAGAGGGTAATGACACACGCTGCGGCCAGGCAGGAAACATGTGACTTATCAGTAACTTTAGACATCGTAAAAAAAAAAAAAACGAGATTTTATTGTAGATTATACATTTTACTGATACCAACTATATAATATTTACCTTGTTCTTTCAAAATAAAAATAAAATATTTTTTGGAAATATATTCTTTAATTTATTTTTAATTTTTAATGACAATCAAATATGTGGGAAGAGGGGGGGCGGCGCCCCTATGGGCCGGCCGCCACTGCTGGTAAACAAAAGAAATTCCCTGGTTATAATTCTAAGAACTTGTAAAGTGAGAATGCTGCAGTAGCAGAGATAGAGGATGTGATGTTATACGGGAGGACTTCTCGGAGTTCATTGGCCTGTTCGCTCTTTCCCTTTTGCAACTCTTTTCAATCTCACGATGTCTGGGTAATGTAGTTCCGCTGAAATGCAGGCTTCATGGCCTATATAGTTTCGAGTCTGTTAGAATTCACCCTAATCCTACAAACGCAACACACGTATTTCTGATAAATACGATTTGATCATGCAGTAATTCATTTTTCACGTTACGTGAATTATTTGACTTGAACATGTTCTGATAAAACTCCATATCCCACAATGCTAGTAGTTCAGTGCCCAGGCTCCGTAAACGCGGACGAGGTGGCGAGTGGGTGGAAAATGACTGGAGGGAGCTGTTATCCGGGGCTAAAATTAGATATTAGCACCATGAAACGCGTTTTATTTTGTATTTAAGTCGTCTTTTATGTTTTTCGAACTTTGACCGTCCAGCTCTGGAGGGACTCTGTTGACATTAAAGCATTTGAAAGGCATTCTAACACTTTTCTTTGCGTCGGAAGTGTCGGAACCCTACTCGCAGATAACCGTTAGTTCTTTTCCGCAGCCAGGATGCCGCGGGACAGCAGAACTCCTCTCATCCAGAAAATAGCAAAACAAGCACACATCACCTTCAAAGGCTGGAAGCCGTCCACCAGCGGAGATAATAAACTATTCGCGGAGCAACAAGGGGAACTCGTGTCTTTAGTGACCGCGGTCAGGGCGGCTGACCTGAAAATTGCTCCCCGGAAAAGCAACTCAAGCACCGGGGCAGCGGAGCTCCAGAGCCCCCCTGTCACCTACATGCATATCTGCGAGACGGAGGTGTTCAGCATGGGGGTGTTCCTGCTGAGGAGCGGAGCCTCCATCCCGCTGCACGACCACCCGGGCATGAACGGGATGCTGAAGGTGAATACACCTCCAGTCTGTGGCCTTCAGCCCGCCTCTGTCCTGCGTCTGCCTGTCACTCTACTGGAGCTAGCTACACACAGCTAGCTCACACAAGCTTATGTCCAGAGGTGGAAGTAGTACTCAGATTCTTTACTTCAGTAAAAGTGCTAATACCACACTTGATAATGAAAATGAAATATTAGAAGTGAAAGTACTCATTACAGAAAAAAAACATTGATATATTTGAAACATTTAAAATTGCAAAAGCAGCAAAGTGTCTCATTTAAAACGCTGGAACTGTGAAATGTGTTTGAACCATAGACTGTATATATTTGAACAGATCTTCTTGGCTGAATTGCTGCCAATAAATGTTCTGTTAACCCACTCATGGTTTTAGTAACTTAAATAAATGGTTGGGTGGTTCAATCTATACCAAAAAATCATATTTTAAAGTTTTTACTAAGTATTGAGTGTCAACATCTAAATGTATAAAGTAACTATTAACTACATTAACTTTACAGATGTAAAGTTAATGTAGTTAAAAGTACAACATTGGCTTCCAAAATGTAGTAGAGACCAAGTATAAAGTAGTAAAATTAAAGTGTAAGTATAGGCCTACCTCAAATGTTATTAGTAACTTTCCACCACTGGGTATATCTCACACAAATTGAGAAGTGACTTGTACTGGGTTTGTGATTCAATTCACAAAGTCATGAAGTTCAAAAATAATTAAGTTCCAACTCAAATTCACCAATGGTTATCGAACCCTACGCGTGAGGTCTAAAGTTGTCACCTTAGTCAAAACCGAAGTGGAGCAAAGTTAGAGTTTATAGTACATTTAGTTTGTGGTTATTTGTCTATGCCAGAGAACATGACATATAATCATAATTATAACAAACTTATAATTTATAATTTATATACCTTTCAAACAGAGTCACAAAGAGAATAAAATCTTCTTAAAAACAGCGTCCAAACACATGTTGGGGGTGACCATGTTACCTTCTCACATGCAAGGGCCCAATGACATCATGGGCCCCTGAACATAGAACTGGCAAACCGCTAGGGTTTTTTCTTATGATTTGATATTGTTATTTTATTTATTAATCCCAATAACTTGTTTATAATGATACGTGATACATTTTACCCAAATGTCCCTGTGTCATGTCACTTTTTGCAAAAGACAGCACTCAAATCCCACATAAGCCCATTATATACGAACTGTGACGGCATTACGAATAGATTGAAAGCCAGGGTTAGGGGGTTAGTAATCTGTGGCCGCGAGCTGTTATGTGCCATCATGACGTGCATGGTGTTAAGTTTTAATATTAAAATGAAGCGCGAGCTGTGTGCTCGAGTCCTCCTGTTCGTCGGCTGAACTTTGCTACTCCGAGATGAGGGTCTAACAACTTCAGCAGCTACATTACCTACGGTGCGTTCGTTAACAGTAACTGTGCGGACCGGAGTCATTTTACTGGTCCGGCCAACTTGAGATCAAATGTAGCTGTATGTTGTCCCTGAACTAAAATGAGTTGACACCCCTGATTTAGAGAGGTAAGGGAACATCATGTTATGCATAGAGACAATACCATCTGCGCTACTATGAGAAAGGAAGTCACCTAGGTGTACACTGAACAAACTGAAAATATTTAATTAAATTGATTATGTCAACAGATTTCACATAACTGTACTACGTTAGTTCAAAGTAATAATATTACGTTTAAATAAAAAAAGATTAGGTTCAACTTAATTGTATTGCTTTCAACTAACCTAATACGGTTGTGTGAAATTAGGTGACATAATACATTTAATTAAAGACAACACTTCAGTTTTCCAGTGCAGTGAGAGGAGCACATTTACTTCTAATGGCCACAGCAGACCTTACATTAAATAACAGTGTCTCAAATGACCAGATACAAGTACAAGCCCTGGTAACCGTTGCCTGTCTCATGTTCAGGTCCTCTATGGGAAGGTGAGCGTCCGCTGTTTCGACAAGCTGGAGAACAACCTGAGCGTCGGCAGCGCCCCCCCCCAGCTCGAGCCTCCGCTGGCCCTGTACCAGACGTCATCCCTGCGGCGCTCCGTGCTCCGCTCAGTGGTGGAGCTCTCAGAAACCAGCGGGCCCTGCCTCCTCACCCCTCTGCGGGACAACCTCCACCAGATCGACACGGTGGAGGGGCCGGCGGCTTTCCTGGACATCCTGGCCCCTCCGTACAATCCAGATGACGGGCGGGACTGTCACTACTACAAAGTCCTGCAAACTGTGTCTCAGGGGGGGCCGGAGGGGAAGAGCAACGAGGAGCAGCAGGGAGAGGAGGAGGAAGAGGAGACATGGCTGCTAGAGATCCCTCAGCCAGATGACTTCTGGTGTGGGGGGGAACCGTACCCAGGCCCTGCAGTCTCTTTCTGATCTGAGGGACTGCAGAAATAGTATACTGATATTCATCTACAAGGAGACAGAGTTTTCCACACATTAGGGTTATCACCTGGAACTCAAAGGGATTGGTGCCTTGCTCGGGGGGCTAGAGGCTCATAGAAAAAGGATTGAACACATAAGGACCTCCGAACCTTCCACGAGTAACCTTTCAGTCCTGAGAACTGAGTTGACACGAAGAGTTTACATTCCTAATATGATATTTTTCTGCAGACCATTATGTTGCCTTCTACACACATGAATGTAATTAGCCAAACGTTCTGTGAATGATGGGATGTCATTAGGGTCTCTGTTTGTGAGGCTTGGAAAGCCCTTTACATTTTATTTGTTCACTCTTCCACATCGTGACGTGTCTTAACGCCAAAGCCTGTGACTACATTGCCTTATTTGTGAATATGAATGTATACTTTAGAGCTGTATTTCAATGGTAGACACTCATTTCTTCTTCCACAATGCACACACTTTATATATGCTGTTTGATGCGTTTAACTTATTCCACTTACATGATTCCTACTCAGGCCTGGTGAGCTGATGCATAGTAAGCTGATGTTCAGCTTCTTGTATCACATCCACAGTGATAGGGCCTGTGTGATGCCTCATATTTAAGCCTGATGGAAGTCTTTAAACCCAGTTCAGACCAAATGTATAGTCTATGAAAATACATTATGTTTTTAAACTGTAGCTATTTTAGAGAATTTTTGCATTTCCCTATATATCAAACAAACACGTGTACACTTTCTTCACTAACTCTTACAATAGCTTGATAAACACTATATCATTCCAGTGTGGGTGTTACTTTATTTGACATCTCTGCAGACAGCAGCTCAGGTCTACGAGCCACTTTAAAGTGATGCTGTTACTCTGATGTTCAATGTATGTGCAGCAATAAAACACATGGTAATAATCATGGAACATCACGTTCGTAGTCCTGTAGTGTTCGGATTGTAGTCAGCAGTCCAATCCTTGTGAAATGATATCATTCTGAGACGTGAAGGGTTGTTTTTGAATGCTGTAATAGTAGAAAAAAAGGGCTGTAATTATTAATGATATTAATGATGGCTCTAACACGCATACCGTCAGTTTCTTGGAACTAGCACAAGCTAAGAGGAATTGAATGCAGAGTGTATATTTCACTGCTGTGCTGTGTACATTTGTGACGGTTTAACGTTTTTTCCATATTCCAGCCAAACCTGTGAAAATAAGGTGATAAAAACCGGCTCAGTCAACTCATCTCACACAGCCACCTCAGACAGCGTCTACTACAGTACATGCTTTTAGTTTTCTACCGTTATGATATCACAACATTTCATGTTGAGGCTATAACCACAGGTCTGTGAGCCAATAGGAAGACAGTACAGTACAAAGCCTCTAGAAGCAGAGCACAACTCCACCCACTTTCTATGTGTATCTGTTTTGCAGTCTTTGAGTCAATGAGCACAATTCACTATTTATATTAGAATTATAACCATTGTAACATGTTTCAGTCCTGGACTAGCGTTAATGTTAGCATGTCTAACAGCCCTGACAGCAGTGAGTTAGTAAAGGTGTTAGGGTCTACAGTCTAGGAAGGTGGTGATGCAGAAAGGGTGGAGGCGTGTGATTTTAACATTTAGAAGAAGAAAGTGAAACAAGTGCAAAGGAATAGAGGCATGTCCTTAAGTCAGTTCGAGACAGCAGGGGGAGAGAGGAGGAGCTCCAGCAGGACAGCGACCCCAACACACAGACCAGAGCCTCGAGGAGAAGACGAGGAACAAGGTCAACGTCCTGAGAGTCTTCTACCACTCTGAGACACCAAAGAAGATGTGTCGCACGACTTAAAATGTATTCAAAGTATAGGTTTTAAAATGTAACAAACTTATATCTGCTGTTAAACCTTTGAAATTGAAATGAGTTTATCTCTAAGCGGATGGAAATCCTCTAGAAAGCAGGTTTTCTGTTTCCATCAGCAGCTCTGTGAAGCTTTAGTTATTATAAACAAACTGCTTCTCTACTGTTTCCTTTCATTATCTTTCAGAATATATCATTCCTGTTTACCACTACTTGACACAGTGCTAATATTCATGTCTGCATGTTCACACACTTGGCTACACTCCGACACAGTGACAGTCAGTCAGGTCAGTGGCAGCCGCTCATATTAAATGCAATTATCCTCAATGTTCAGAGTAAAGTCTATCAGGCCGGCTGATCAGTGTGTGGAATACTTGTGGTGCAGCGTGAACAAGAACAGTCTTTATTAGCGGCTCGTTCAGATTTCAGATGTGTGTCTTTTTCTCATGGTCAGATGCTTTGGTGTCACACTCAATAAAGACTGTTGTAACTTGTATTTATTAGGAAATGTTCCATAATCTGAATTCAACAACATAATAAGAGGAGAAAAGGTGCAGGATCACACACTGATTATCAGGAGTTACACATCTCTTCCTATCGGACTGTCGCTGGACTTTAAGTCCATTTTAAATAATCTTAAATCATACATCTTTGAATTATTGATTTCTATTTCTGTTTTTTTGTATGTCTTTAACCTTATTACACAGAGCACTTTGGGTTGCGTTTTTGTATTGAATGTGATATACAAAGGAAGTTGAGTTATTAAGCATTTGCATAAATCAATTCATAAACATGTTATGACACAAAGTGAAAGCAGATAGTGTTCATTCATGTATTTCCTAACAACTAGATCCTCCTGTGTTGACACCAAGAAGTGGAGGCTATTGTAATATCAAAAAAATGTTTGTATGAGAGGATACATTTCAGTACATGAACACACACTCAAACAGTTCTTATATTTGATTGCAATGACATGACGTGGTAAGGCCTTAGATGACTTATAGACCATTTAATTGACTGCTTATACTGTAAATGCTTAATAAAGAGGGTTATAGGGAAGTGTGAGCANTATGTTTTCGTCATTATTTAGACCCTCCAGAAAAACGCGATTCTGCGATCCGGCCTTTTAAAAATCTGCGCCATTTTGCTGATTATGCGGTAAATTCTGCGATCGCAGAATCGCGTTTTTCTGGAGGGTCTAAATAATGACGAAAACATAATAGGCAGATTTCACAGTAATTATAATAAAAACGTAGCTCAAGCATTTATGCAACTTGATTTGAAGCGTGTGTGTGTGAGGGGCAGAACTGTGTTTCTAGGGTGACCAGGCAGTCAAAAAGGTTCCTGACCCCTGGTCTAGGGTGACCAGGTGTCCCGCACTGTGCGGGACTGCAGACACAGCATTTTTATTATTTGTCCCGCGTCCAACACATTGAGACTATGTCCCGCATTTGAGTGATAGTCGCGCAGAAAGGCCGGATCGGTTCGCTGACAGCCGGCACCGCCCTTTATTATTATATTGTCTAAACCGCATCATGTAAGTTGCGCTGACAGGCGACACAGAGGTCCCCCAAATTCAAATATTTTATTAATTAAAAGGTCAACTACAGGCAAACAATACAACCCCAATTTAGGCCTACTTAGTAGATACAATGATTTTGATTACTAGTTATGTATGCATGTAGTACCACCCTTGCTAGCGATTCCCTCTCTAGTTTAGCATACTCAGCCTCGTTGTCCCTGGCCCTAGAACCACGATTTTATGGGGCCGGAAAAACTGGGAACAAGTACCCGCTAGCCGGTACTACGCTATATGGAAAGGCCACCAAAAACTGGCCTGGCCGCTTAAGGACGCTAAAGGACATTTAAACGGGGCTATCCGCTGCAGTGGAAATGCGCCATAACATACCTTACCTTTTCTTACTCCTAGCACTACTTCTGGTCCTCCGTCGCTTCACACTTGCAGAGGGCGATTTCTCAACTGGCTGAACTGGTGTCCTGGTCGGTGATGACACCAGAAAGACCGATGGCACTGCATCCCCATTAAGTACTGGTTGATGAATAAATCCCATTTGATGTTTCACCATACTCTCAGAGTAGTCGTCCGGAAACTTGAAATGTTCGCTGCATACACGCACCTGTGGATCTTTTGGTTCGGGCCGAGCACATTTCGCTAGCCACTGCCTTCGAACGTACTTCCTACGCTTACCCGTTGGCAATAGATGGAACCGAGTATTCCATGGATTGTTCCTATCCGAATTGTGGCAATGTTTCTCGATACAATGAGGCATATTTAAATATAATTGTGAGAGTAACTACAGTAAACAACATGCACAAAGCACATATGTCCTCGACACCAAACGCACAGTTCACGTCACGTCCGGTAAAATAAGTCATGTGACTCGTCAAAATGGCGCCGCCCACAGAATTGATGTTATTTCGGTAATTAATCAGCTTAAAATCACTGATAACGTCATCTGATTAAAACATTTTTTTAAAAGACTGGCAGAGACTGGTCTATTTTATCGGATGATAATTATTTAAAAATGAGTGTCATGAGGATTCCCTCCATTTAAAGGGGACCTATCATGCAAAATGCACTCTTGTACATCTTTTATACATGAATATGTGTCCCCGGTGTGTCAGGGAACTCACCAAGCGTCAGAAAACACAACCCTCTCTCTTTTCCTCCATACCCAAATCTCTAAAAACGGGGCTGCAATGGATCTGATTATTATTTGAATTTTTCTGACGTCAGAAAAGGGGTGCTCCGCCTATATGGGCAACTCTCCACCTATCAGGGTAATGAGAGACCGCTCGAAAGCGCTGTAGTACATATTCCAGGCCTGTAGGTGGGGCTGTAGTCTGCCACAAAAGCAGAATGAGCCCTTGAGCGAAATGAGGCATGGCTAAAATGCATGATCTGTTTGTTGTTTTGAAAAAAAAATGTTGACATGTTTTATATAGGTATGGCCCTACAATATATGTTTCAAATATAGCATGATTTTAACAATTTAAATGTTATGTTTTTTTTGCCAGTCCAACAAACTGTTGTTTTAAAATATCTAAAGACCATTTTTGTATTACCCAATTATACATTCATTTTAACCAGACACATGTAAAAAACCTGTCTCATTTAATTTTCATTAGAGCAACCCACACAGGTACTCTCTCTCTATGTAAAGGTAATGAGTGAAAACAGACGCTGTCATTTGACTGCTAATATTTCAGATTTTTAAGTTTCGCCAATCACATTAACATTAAGAAGACTGTGCATTGTTCTAGCTACAATGAGCCGTATGTTGGTCAGTCAAGCAAACAACAACATAATGTAATTGGAGATGAATGATTACAGTCAATATGTTTGTTCTAATAAAAAATCCATTGAGGATTGATGTCCTGTCAGTCTGGAGGTGGACGAGTGACAGGCAGCAGGCTAACATTTCAACACCTTTATATTTAATGCAGCAGCTACGTGTACTGCTTTGGCTTTTAACATAACAACTGTTTACTTTGACAATTGACGTTAGCCTCATTAGCATCATCATTTTGCTGTGATGAAGTATTCCCACAGATGTACACTTATTGACTGACGGGTACCATTGACTTAGAATTCCATCCTCTCGATGGACCGCCTGAGAACACAGATATTTTTATTTTACCGCCCTTTTTTCGAACTGTTAAAAGAAGAGAAAATCGTAACTTTGAATCTAATTCTTATCATATTATGTGGTATCATTCCAATTGGCACCCAACCACTAACTTGACTAAAATTAGTTTCTTATTACAGATGTATCAGAATCTGCAGAAATGTTGGTTGCTATGTGTCAGAAAAGTAAAGTGTTTCTTAACCCTTTCTCCAGTCAGCCATTCATGTAACTTTCCTTCAATATGCCATGCATATAACCTGATGAAGACCCACAGCATGTACCTGGCCACACTATTCACATTACCCTCCCCCAAGAGCTCTTTCAGCTGCTCTGCAGATGTTCAGGAGGCTCTGCACACACCTGTCACTGCTATGTTGTACCTGTAATGTACCCTATGCATTATAGGAATTAAAAACATTGCTTGTGGCTTGACTATTTAT